TTAATATTTACTGGAGGATATTCAAATTCATTTAAGATACAACATGTCTTTACAGCTCACAGAGTTACAGAAATTAATTATTCACCACCTATGATTTAAACTCACAAATTCACTAGAAATCCCAGTTTCCACCTGTTAGGGTGATTGAGCATTCAGAAAATAGCTGCTATTGTTAAATTATTACACCCTAAAAAGACATATCAGGAGGCCACTAAGTCTGCTGTTGTATTTTAGCAGATATTGGCCTTAATAAATTCGTGAACAGCAGTTGAGAAGTGGATAGTGTTGTTGCCTGTGTGACTGCTAGTGAGCGAGGCACATCAGCTCTGTGTATAGCTTGACCCCCAGTTATCAGGAGTGCGGTCTGTCATCCCCTGCTGGCGTGAAGGCAGTTCCCAACACCAGTGCAGCTGTACCCTGTTCCTTCCTGTCCAGTCCATGCAGAACCGGGGCGTGTTTTATCAGCTACCGGCTTGCAAAGGGACTCAGGGATGATAAATGCAGAAAGGCACATGAATGTGCTGACTGGGAGATTCAGTGAAGGGGAACTTGCTGCCTTGCCCAGACTGGACCTCTCTCTCTCAAGAGAGAGACAACCATTCCTCCTGCAGGCTCTGCTCCCGGAACTTCCCTCAGACAACGAGCTGCGGAAGTGAAGAGGCTGTGGGAATCTCCTTCTCTGGCACGCAGCTATTTAGGGTGGGGGTGGATTATAACAGACTGTTTATTCTTTATTTTAGCTTTCTTTTAGGTGTTGATTAGCAGACCTATGAAGGGAACCCTCCTGCCTGCACCCAGCCTGACCTCCCCAACAGTGTGCAGACCAGTGTGGCTTTTTAAAATAATGAGTCTCCTCAGTAATAAATCATGAACTTCTTACTTCTTTCTTGGGCCACTGTGTGTTCTTCATGGTCATAGTAGGACTGTTTCTCTTGAAGTAGCGTATATTGACTTCATTTGGGTCTCAGCCTGCCTTCATTTAATATTGTTGGGTCATGCTTAACCAGCAGGGGCTCATAATTGACGAACACTCCTTTTCAGTAGCAGCTGGTAAATTCCCCAAGAACATAAACTTGTATTTCTGTTCATCTTGCATGGGCCCTTGAACGATGAGAAAGCCAACAAACAGGGAGGGGCAGACGTGCGGTGAGGAGGTGGTTTTCAGTCACTGTCTTGGGTGTCTCAGTCCATCTCTTACTGTACATCCTCCCTCTCTGTTCATCTCTGTGCTGTGGTTCAGTCTGCCACCAGCACCGAGGTGAGTCGGACGTCTGAGTGCTGCTTGATGCAGTGAGGACCCAGTGTGAAAAGGGGCTCGTCGAGTTGTGTTATGTTGCTTCTTGACAGTGGAGGCGGTGAGGGAATCAAGACAGGTGAGGGAGACTAATTTAGAGGGTCCCACTCCTCTCCCTGGGTCAGTGATCGGACCTGGATAAACCCTGTAATACCCTTGATTAAACATGACTGGCTTTGTTACCCTCACTAGCTGTCTGCAGTCCCGATTGTATTAGAATTAGTGGCAGATTTCGATTCTGCTTGGATCATGTTGTCTTCACTTATGTACAGTTGTGATTTCCACCAACAGGAGCTTTAACTGGCTGTTTTAGTAGGAGTTTCTGATTACTTTCTTCTTCTTACTTCACAGTGCTATTGATTGTATTACTAAATGCATGAAATTACAACTTAAAGTCCCCTGCTTATACTCTTCGCCATGTCTCGGGATCTTTTTTCTGACTCACTGCTGGGAAGTCTTGACTCACAGGCTGAAGTACAATGTGAGAACTATGTGCAGGAGGTATTCCCCCTGGCTTTTAAGCAGTGTGTCATGCTGTCCACTGCCGTCTTCTTAAGATGCGCGCTTAACATTTTGCTGTCCTGGAACAAAATCTGAGAAAATCTTATTGTTTGTAATACAGGTTTGTTGTACATTAAGCCCAGCCTTCAGAAGTATTTCACACGGGGCGCCCGAATGCACTATGTGAATGACAGTTCAGTCTACTGTCTCAATTATACTGAAAATACTTCCATTTCCACAAAAGAGCCCACGACAGAAACATCTGGTTAAGAAAAATTGATTGTGTGTGATGCATCACATGGCGATCGTGGATTTCGTGCGTCCTTATGTGTGATCCAGACGTCCAATACTTAGAACATTAAGTGAACATCAAGGAGGTATAATAGTTTGACAATCCTTAGTTTTATTTGTACTAATCGTTCAGAACAAGAATATATCCTCTCTTCAGATACAGGGTGCCAGTGTTCACAGATCTATCTGCAGCCATAAACACAAATGGTGCTGCCGTTCGTATTTAATCGATTGGCTGATCTGTGCAGGTGCTCTGAAGGGTTAATAACAAGCCTGCTCTTTTTATTGTTGCACATCCCCCGCCCGCTCCACACGGTGAGCCCGCAGGAAAACGGTCAAGCTAGCCGGGGATCTTTCTGCCAAGACAAGTGAAGCCAGGGGTGTGCCTGCTGCCCTTGCTTGTTGGCGGGGGTACGGAAAGCCGGGGAGAGGTCTGGGCCCCGCGTGCACAGCGGAGGCGGGAGAGGGAGGAGAGAGGGAGAGGGGAATAAAGACACAGGGTGGAGCTGCTATGCTAATCGGAAGTGAGGGAGGGAGGGGGGTTCTCCCGACGTCGCTGCACACACTGAGCAGGCTCAGCTGCCTCCGTCCTGGGCGCTACTGTACTTGCTGGCGGCTTGCAGGCTATCGCTGAAGCAGGAGCTGGGACTCGTGGTGCGCTCCGGCTCACTGCGGATGGAGCCCCCCGGATTACTGGAGGGAGCCTACAGGACCTGATGACCCAGGGGATCTTATTGTACTGCGGGTGGATATTGCCAGGGATTGTTTTAAGAGCCCGGCCCGGGAGGGTGCTGTACAAGGACACCAGGGCAGAGAGGAGAGGGGCGTGAGAGAGAAGCTCCTACCTCACATAGTGTCCAATTGGAAGGACTGTGCATTCTGGTAAGGATATTGATATTGATTTTTCTTCCCTCAGTTTCTCCTCATAACTGACTGATGGGATGTTTTGCTTGGTAATGTCCAAACGTCGGCAGTGGGAATGAAAATTCCCCTATACTGATCGTTAGTATGTTTTTGAGACTGTTTCTGTTGCTTTAAACTGTTTTGGGGTTGCTGTTGTTTTTATCCTGTTGTCTGTGAATACTGAAATAAAATGACGTTCTGCTTATGTTAATGAGCATGGAGAGTGGATAGATATCAAATCCAGCATAGCAGATGAAGCAGCGATGGATTATTTTCGATATTGTTCTTCGTGATTACAGAGATGCTCTGTGCTTTATCATCAGCCTGAGGCATGAACAGTTGCAGCAGTGTTTCACATGTGACCATGTTCACGGTCCTTTTACTGTAAATAACCTCTCCTACACAACATAAGGAGATGCGTGTAAGTTTACCGCGTATAAGGGCTATTGATTAAGCTGTAAGTGCTGAATTATACTCTGTGCCTGTGGCAAGGTGCTGGCAATCAAAAACTACTTCAGAATCGATATCTATTCAGAAGCATTACAGTCATGTGCTCCTCATGGATGGGAGAGACTTCTTTTGTAGACAAGGAACAGTGCTCTTTATAGTGATGAGTGCAGGGTCCTAGATTTTCTGAGTACAAGTTACCAGAACCTGAATGTAGTATTGGGCTTAATCAGCTGAAGTACAGCCGAGATCTTTCTTCTCTTTCTGTCAGAGATGATGGTGGTACTGTAAAAAGAGAACAGGTCTCTTTTCCTCTCGAATGACTGCAATGACCAACGTTTCTTCAGATTTGCAGCGGATGTTTGTGTCAGGCCATTTTTGCTGATTAGCTGTGCCGGGGAGGAATTTGACATTTCATTTTTATCTGGTTGTCCTCTACAGTTTCTGCATTGTAAGGATAGCGGTTTGTCTTGGGATCATATGAGGGCACAGAGCTCTCACCCTGCTGGGCAGAGAAAGGGTAGGAGCTGGCCATCCCTGTGGTAGTTATATTTGGAAGGGCATGTTCTGGCATTGCTTTGCAGCCCAGCAACTTTGAACCAGCAAAGTCTGCTCATTTGCTGCCTAACTGAATGCTGTGGTCAAGAGCCATACAGTAGGCTGTCACATGTGCTGGAGCTGCCTGGAGTTGCAAACAGGAAAGACACTTGTCACGCACTTGCCCTTGATGACAAGGCGAGAGAGTCTACTCATCCCCAACAGGATGGGAAAGGAGATAAGGGAATATTCTCCACTGCTATTGCATCTTCTCTTACCCTCTCGCATGTAAAGGTCGCACTTTCACAGGGCAAGCAAGGCAATCCAGCCTTTCTTCCCTGAGCTGGGAATGCAGCATGGGCTAAGAAAAAGCTTGTCCGTTTCTTAAAATTTCATACAAATGGTCCAAGAATTGGAGGGGATCATCGTTCTCATAAGGCAAAATAGCCTCAGACGTGAACATACTGTAAAACTTTGTTTTGCGTCCGAAGAGACAGGAAATCCTCAGTGTTGGTGAGGGTTCAGATTGCACTGACTACCGCATGTACTGTAGCACAAAACCTCTAGGCCTGGATGGATAAATCGGCCTGCTCCCACAGCGATGCTATCGGTGCTTCCAGTGTCCCAGAACACACCCTTGCCTTGTTTTGCCTTTCCATAAGGAGCAAGTCCTGCGTTCGGAAGCGTGGGCAGATGAAGGGCTGCGGAATACGGCAGAGGTCTGGAGATTGGAGGCGATCGGGTGATTCAAGACCCTCGGGGGTTCTGAAAGGGTCTCGGCGTGTGCGCTATGTTACCGTGTGACGATAAAGAGGCACAGGCTTGATCTCGGTCAAAATGTCACCGTGGGGAAGAGGGGGCGGGCAGTTTGAACGAGGAAATCTTGCACGACCGAGGGGATTGGCAGTCGCATTTGGATAGAGGTGCCTTGTAATCCCTTCTCTGTTCAGCAACCGGGTGCTGGCATTTGAAACGGGCTGTGTGTAACAGCAGCTCTCCATGTGCACGTTTACATGGGTTTCACCGGCTTCTCAGGTGTTTTTCTCCTTAGTGCCGCCTTAGGTAGCGGCTTCTCCGGATTTCGGCATTAAATTAAAAAAAATTAAAACCCGAGGAACAGCAGTTGTACCCGACTAAACATGTCGGCAGATTGCAGCAGCCAGCCTACATGGAAAAGGTTTACTGTTACGATGAAATGCCTGGGTCTGAGAGTTACAAATTGTTTCTAGGGGGGGAATCCAAACGAGAAAAGCACGCCCCATACAATGAGATTTGATCATTTTGGTTCAACGGGAGTTTAACTTTCAGATTTCCGAGCTGGAGTGGCTGGAGATAGAAATAATGTGCTGAGCTCCTGCCAAGACTTCAATCAGGTGGAGGCTTAGGGAGGTGTTTCACGCTGGCTGTTGGGTTTAATTTTCTGATCCCTGCTAAGCCCCTGCCCTTTCCCTAAAGAGCGACCTAGCTGGCAGGCCGGACCGGGAGCGCTCCGAGACTCCTCGCACGTGCTCGGAGCCGGCCGCCATGTTGGAGCTGGAGCGGAGGGAAGGAGGCCGGCGTCGCCGTGGCAACGGAAGCCGGCTGCCTGCCTGCCTTGGGCCCGAGCTGACGTGGTCTGAGCTGTCAGGGATGTTGTGAAATGTTGTGGTATTTGTAAATCTTAAGATGAAAGAAAGCAAGCTCCCGAGTCAAGATCTTAGTCACTGAAGCGATTCCCCCCCCACCACTCAGGAAATACTTCTCTCAAGCGGGTTTGCTAGCCATGGGGAAACAAAAGTGAGAGACTGAAATAGTCTTACATGGGAAAGGGATGTCGCGCACCAATGGGGTTTCATGGTGACAGATGGAGCTCCTTTCATGCTAAGTGCGTTTCCAGGACTGTTGCACTTTATCGTCAGTAATGATTTATGAAAAGGTACCTCACTCATTCGGATCCCGATCACGAATTGACTTTCTCTTTTTCAAGTAGTCGCGCTGTACTGTCCCAAGGTGCCAACACTGATTTCTTCAGCTTCCCAATTACCTGCTCGGGCTGCTTAAAATGCCCAGTTTTATTCTCTATGTGCATTGTCTGAGCTTTTCTTGTGTGGGGGGGGGTGAATTTCACATGGAGGGGTTAAAGGATGGAGAGGGTTAAGTTATCACTTGGTGAAGCCCCCCCCGCTCCCTGCGGTTCTCCTTCCGGTCTTTGAGGAGCCCTGGGGCAGAGCGGGGGTGAGGATGAGGGGCTGTGAATGTGGCGTCGACCTGCTAAGTGAGCGCCCTTTAGAAAATACAGAAGAGGGCAAGTCGCCGAAGAGTGGTTGAGGTTGTATACGTTATATCTTAATGTACATGTGTTTATTATTTTGTACTCTTGTGGGGCAGCGTGGTCGTGCAGCGGTTGGCATTTCTGCCTCGAAGCGCTGGGGCCTTGCGTTCAGTTCTTGGGGTTTGTCTGTGTGGAGTTGGCATGGTCTCCACGGGTTTTCCCGCTGGGTGCCCGTTGCTTGGCTCCGACTGCCCCGCGACCGTGAGTTGAATGAAGTGATGAGAGGATGGATGGGTAGTGTCCCTGTAACTTCAGAAGACTTTACCCAGCAAGGGGGGGGTCTGGTGCATTTTTTCCACATTTTCTTCGAGAAGGAGATCGGAGGAAGAATCTTGACGTTTCTGAACTGAATGGCCCCTTTCTCGTTTCTGACCTTTCTTGCGTTCTCAAAGGGACCACGTGGTGCTGTCTGCTGTGCCTTCATTTTCACATTGTGTGTGGCCGAGACGTTTGTTTTCCTGCATCGCTACCTTTGTTTTTTCAGGCCTCAATCCCTGTGAGAGTCTTGGCTGCCGACAGTGCCTGTAGAAGCCCTTTGATGATGGGGTCTGGCCCGCAGTGCCCTGCGAGGTGGCCGATCCCCCGTCCTTGCTGTTTCCTGAATCCGTCATGGGGCGCATCAGTGGCCGTGCTGGGGTCCCCCCCCTTTTAACGGGCTCCAGGCTCCCTCCCGCTGCTTTTTAGAAAAGCAGGATCACATCTGTGGAAGTTTAACCGAAATCCTACCGGAAGGTTGGGAGGCTGTCGGAATCCTTCACGCCGTCTGCGAGATGTTTGTTTTTAGTCGTCTCCATTGCAAATCCTCCAACCCCCCCCCCCCCCCCCACAGTTTTGCGTTAGGAGGGTGAGGAAACGTCTCCTAGTTAGTCAAAACGAAGAAAGAGCCGGGACTGGGATTTTGAGAGGATCTCAAAGTCCCCCAAGTTTATTCCAGATCCGAGTGGGAATAAGAAGCAGGGAGGGAAACGCTCCAAAAGTAAAAGTTGTGCTGTCCAGAAAGCGATTTTAAGAGCAGCTGAAAAGAATTCTGTTAGGTGTCCCCTGGCTGTTCCTGCAAGGGTTTGGATGTAGCAATGCTAATATAGAGAATTTGCTTTTATAGGCTTTCCCTAGTTTTCATTCTACTGGGTTACTTTTATCGATGCAGGGCTTGAATTAATGGAGACGGAAGTTAGTACTTAAACTCAGCTGTTGTCCGGGGTACAGCGCATTTTGAAAGGGCATGTATCTGCTGCCGGGAGGTGGGGCCAGCTATGTGGAAAGTGGAATCTGATCTGTCTCCGGTGGTTTGCTGATCGTAATTGCCAGTATGTGACAGTTAACGTGCAATTTGCTGCTGGGCCTCACGAGCTCGGCAGTCCAGCTTCGTGAGTGTAGGCTTGATGTGTTCCCTTACTGCCGTCCACAGTTACTTTTGCCTTGAAATGCTCGTGGCAGTGCAATACGTCATCTTCAGTATGCATGTTCTAAATGATCTGTTCGCTCATTCGAAATTAGCTCTTGAAATGTTCAGGCAGACTTACTGTTTGACAGAGATCTCCAATCCTAGTCCTGGAGAGTTCCAATCCGACAGGTGTTACCAGTCGCCCATTTCTAAAGATAAGAAACAACTCCATTGTGATCAGTTGCACAGGTCATGCTGTACATTAAATTCAGTAATCTCTGACAAGTCTTCTTACTTCAG